CTCTCCTCCCCTCCCCCCCCCCCCAGCCCCACAAAACTGCTACACTACCATTTAATTGCGAGTCAAGGATTAAAGATTTATTCTATTCCTGTTTATTTGGCAACTGTTTTGGGCTATCATGGATCAGTTGAATTTAAAGAAGTGTCTCTGCAGGGCTTGGTCACCTGATTAACGTGGCTCTTTACATGTTAGAAATAACACGTTAATTAATAAGCCCGCCCCCCCCCCCACCCACACACACACCCCTGTTGTGGTATTAATGTGGTCTGCCCAAAACTGATGAATGCTCCTTTCAAGCTATTCAGATTCTACCAATTAACATTTCTTATATGAATGTTCATTTTCCTGGTAGCAAAGAGCTCAAGTCATAGAGCTTCAAGCTCTGATTGATCCACTTTAAATCAGGTTTTACATTGATAATGTGGTGCTATGAGCACATTCTGGATTCCTTCTGAGGGTAGTGAAAGAATTCCACATACAGTTAAGCATAGGCCTACTTGTTACACTGTTGCAGTGCTGTTTGTTTTAAGAGCATCCCTCAAGTTATTCAGCATTGAAGAGTGAGAATTCCGTGCAAATTGTAATGTTAATGAAGGGGAAAGTATTCACTTATACTTCTGCTTCTTTGACTACATAATCAAACAGGATCTCACTACACACCTTTGATTCAGAGTTTGGATAGGGGGTTTCTTTTGCAGGGATGTGTTTTTTCCCCTCTAGGGTGATAAGTCTGTTTTTTCTCAATCCTTTGGCCTGTTTGGGTTTCATGTTTTTTTTGAGGCGGGAGAGGATGTTGGTTGTTTTTTGTTTTTGTTTTTTGTATTTTAAAATTAATTCTTATACGGAATTCTAGTAATTTGCTTCTATAGGGACTCTTTGTAATTCCACAATTGGGTGGAAGGTTCCAGATGCTGAGAGCAGAGCTGTCAGAAAACTTCCACAATAGAAAAAGGGAAAAAACATTTTGACAAAAAATTCCAAAACCAGGAACATTTGTTTGGTTGGTGCTGAGATAGTTGACTGTACATAACAGGGTCCTCAAGTTGAATTGCCATTGTGTAAGAGAGCCAGAAAGTTTTAAACTGGGAAGTTTGTGTCTTATCTTAGTTTGTGAAGACCTAATAAATTACATTATGATGTATTTTTCTGGAAAAGTATAGACTGTAAAATTTCTTATTGGTAATGAATGATATGGCAGTGTTACATATTTTATATCCGAGATCGTGAGGGCAAAGAATAAATAAAGTTGCATGCTAATAGCCATTGTCTTAATATAGTTAAAAAAAAACAAAACACTGTTGTTTCTAGTGACAGGTACTATACCATAATGAAAATTGGTTATAGTACTAGTACGTGGCAATTATCCTCAATGTTCTCAATTTCTCTATTTCTCTTTAATAATTTACTGCTATCAGCTCTTAGGAGACATACGGACTAAGGTATAGAAATCACTGTTTTCCCCTTACTTCTGATAGTTTAACATTTTAATATAGTATGTACTAAGATTGTACAAAACTAAACATAAAGAAGTAATAGAAAATGTCATTTTAAACTTGATATTGTTAGTTTGAAGTTGTGTAAGGTTGAATGAAATGACTAAATTTCAGTATCTCTGTTCTCCCTCTATTATGATAAATATTTGTATTTTTCACAAGTAAAACTTATGCAGAAGAAAATTGATTAGGTGGATAACCTGTCATGTGCTATATGCTTCATTTTTACTTTTAGAATTCTATATAATCAATCTGGCTTTAAGATATTAATGTTGCATGACTTGTTGAACAATGGAATTGGAGCCATAATGTCAGTGCAGGTGATCAGTGAAGGTGCTAGCCTTTGTATAGATATGTGCAAATACAAAGTTTGACACCTCTTTGTGATCATTGCTAATCTGGGAGTCTGTATGTGATAGAAAAAGCCTGTACGAAGGAGGTACGAGTCGTATGGAATGTACTCTGATGATGATGCCAACAGTGATGCATCCAGTGCCTGTTCAGAAAGATCGTACAGCTCTCGCAATGGCAGTATACCTACATATATGCGGCAGACAGAAGATGTGGCAGAGGTCCTCAATCGCTGTGCTAGCTCCAACTGGTCAGAAAGAAAAGAAGGTCTTCTAGGTCTACAGAATTTATTAAAAAATCAGAGGACTTTAAGGTAAGAAAATGTCTCTTACACAAGAACAGTTTTCCTTGAAGGGGAGGAGGCACTGTTTTGCAGCTGAGGCTTATTTTCCCAGTAGCTTTATGTGTAGATGTAGACTTCATTGTATTACAGGTAGAATTGGAGTTTCAAAATAGTGAAATAAGCAAAGTAGTATATTCTTCTGAATAAATAATGCAGATTGCAGTTTTTCTGTGAGATCTCTTTGCATTATCCTGTAAATGCACAAAAATGATGATAATCAGTTTCTTGGTACGTGTTATATTTATAAGATTAAGTGCATCACTTATGACCAGGTAAAAAACAGTATCTCATTTCCTGCTTTCTTGGGACAATTTTTCAGAAACACAGCTTAAAAACCTAAAGTTTTTACTTGCTGAAATTGTAGACTTTATCCAAAGTAAGATTTCCTTAGCTGCTACTTTCCTGGCATACACATCTGTGGATGCCCAGAGCAAGGTCCATGTCTTTCATTTACATATCCTGGAGGAACCTGTGACTGTAGATCTGGATATTAGATTCACACAGCTCAAACACTATGAACTGTGTAAAATTCACCAGTGACAAATTCTTTTAGCAAGAAGGAGGACAAGGTACTTGGAGACTCAGAAGAAACTGCAAAAACTGGCCTCAAACCAGGAAGGAAACATGCTTAAACACTTTTACCTCTACAATAAGTACCAGAGATCCTTGTCCCTCATCCCAATACTCTTAAACTATCGAGAGCTGAAATTCTGGAAATAACCACCGTCTCCCATTGCTCAGAATGGGGAGTTAAGCCAAGCTACCTTCATAGAAGAGTGAGGATTCTTATGTGTTGGGATTCCCTCTGAAAGTGTTTTCACTTAGCTTATCCAGAACACCTTGTCCAGTTCTGGGAGAACACTTCATCCAGTTCTCTGGGATCCAAATCACTCAGTTTGACTCCAGATTTCATTACTCGGGTTCCTGTATTTGGCATACAGCAAAGCTATGCTGAGTTGATCAGAATCAAGCGTAGGGGTTGGATTTAGGGCGTACCATGCATCCAGAGTTACACAGAAAACCTCTTCTTTTATATACATTTACACGTTACATTGCATTTGCTATACATTACATCACACATTTTTGGATTGGCTTGGTTATTTTGCAGGAACCAATTGCTGTGCAGCATGTTCTGTCCATGTGCTTTTCATGCAGCACATGATCTTCACATTCCAGGTTTATCTTGTCCATTGTCGCTAGCATTAGGATGTTGCTGCTTATTTTAGCTAGTACAGACATCCTGACTCCAGCATACTGCTTGTCAGGCCCCTGTTTACAACTTAACTTTTCATTCACCTTCCCAATCATGCCCACTAAGAAATGAGGCAAGTTACTTATGTCAAGATAGGCCTACACTGTGCTATTTTCAGGGAGCTAGTTGTTACTTTGAAAGGGCAGCTTAGGACAGCTGTGGCCTTTGTTTCATTGAGGACAATAGAAGATGGGAGCCATTTTGAAAAGGGCATATCTTGATGAAATTATTTGTAGAAGAACACTATTCTTTAGCTCCTGTTAAGGAAGAAATGCTCAGTTATTAAAAATAATGGCAAAAGTGACAGTCTTAAAAAATATATTTTTTTAAAAATACCCTTGTACCAGATTTACTCAACAAGGAGAGCAGGAGGGGAAGTATTGAGGGGCGATGTGCATGGGAATCTGGAGCCTAGGAGAAAGGGGAAAACGGGGACAGGGCAGGAGGGATGGAAGAGCGGGTATGTATGTTCTGTCTGTTTTGTGCTCCTCCAAAGTGAGTAAAGCATCCAGAGTATGCTGGTTAATCTGGTACGAAAAGCTGAAATAAAATACAGATCTTGGGGTTATGCTGCAGATCTTCAGATCAACATGATTAACACTACTCATGGGATTTTTTGTTTAGTGTGCAAATATGAAGGTTTTTTTAAAGGTGAATCATAGATAAGAACTTAGATTAAACTGTAGTTAAGTTTGACTACATATTAGTAATGTAAGTAAAAATATTACATGTAAGTATCCCAAAAAACAAGCAGTAGAAACTTAAGAAATTCAGATTTAAGATTAAATTTAAAAGAAATCCAAACATGTTAAAATATGTAAATATACAGTTAAGGCACCCAAACAACCTTATCTCTTCCTTGTAATGACACCATGAGGGAAGCATTTTAAAATAATTATCAGATGTCTTTAAAAATCAGTTTAGTTTAATCTGGGACTGTAGTGCATTATTCACAATTGTTAGTCATCACAATGATATCTTTACAAAACAAAGTTAAGGTTTTTTTGTTTACTTAACAGCATTCCCATACCTTAACATGTTTGAATTTCTTTTAAATTTACTCTTAACTCTTAATTCCCTGGGTTTGTAATGCTTATTTGGGGGATAATTACAACATCCCTGTAATATTTTTGTCTTTAAGTTACTGTTATATGTTCTAGTTTAACATAATTTTTACTGGGAACCTTGTACAGTGTTGAAATTATTGGTGAAATTAAAGAAATAATAAACAGTGATAGAAGTCCTTATTTAATAGCATTAGAGACAAAATTTAAACCAAGAGCTCCTCAAGACAGAAAAATTCCTAATCTGTGGAGTCCTAATTGGTGTCAACTGGAGGTGCAATCCTGTGTTCAACAGAAACTATTTGCTACTCCTGGGGTATATCTACACATCTGCTGAGAGGGTGCTTCCCAGCACAGGTAGACAGACATATGCTAGCTCTGCTCAAGCTAGTGCACTAAAAATAGGAGTGTGGCCACAGCGGGCCAGGCAATGGCTTGGACTCGCCGCTTGAGTACAGTAAAATCCCGCCTGTCCCTCTGGGTATGTAGAATGGATAGCCTGAGCCTCCACCAATTGCTTTCATGGCTACACTGCTATTTTTTGCATGCTAGCTCAAGCAGAACTAGCTCATGTCTGTCTACCGGCATTGGGAAGCACCTTCTTAGCTGCTTTGTAGACATATCCCTAAAGACTAAGAATGTCTCTAAATATACCCTGTTTCATATTGCAGTCATAAGTGAAAATGTAAACAATGTTTTGGTTCTATAACTTTTAGTAAGTGTTACTATAAAGGGACATTATTGGATTAAGTCATATTTAAAAATAAAATTTATCTGTATTAACATTAGATTATTAAAACTGAAAATTTTTAAATTAAGTTTATTTGAGATGTTTAATAGCTACCTCTTTCACTTTGGCTTGTAGTCAATTTCACTGGTTGTTCTGTACTAGTATCATTGTTATGTTATTTGGGTTGCAAATAGTGCATAAGAATGTTTAAATTGAAGTTAAACTTCAAATTAGATTTTAAGCAGAAATGAAAATATTTCTACTGAAAAGGTATTTTTCAACACCTCTTAACCTGAACTTTGGACTTGAAGTATCTAGTCTGTGACCTTTTAAAATAATTCCTTACAGTAGCCCATAGTTGACTAATTAATTGTTACGTCATTTTAACAGTCGCGTTGAATTGAAAAGATTGTGTGAAATCTTCACAAGGATGTTTGCTGACCCTCATAGCAAGGTATGTTTTTTTTTTCTGTTGATATTCCTTTGTTTACTTGTAGTCAGCACATTGAAATATTGTAGATTAATACTACAGAACAATTTCTGTAAAGGATATTAGTAAGTATTCATTTGCACACTTAAAGTATTTGCCATAAAGGTGTATTATAAGCATTGAATTGTGAGAGGTGGTCATCTGAGTTATTTAGGAGCTCTTTGCAAACAGGTGGTGAGGCATAGGTATGTGTTCTTAATTTTCACTGATTGAGTTAATTGATAGAATGTAAGGAAACTGGCGTTTTGATCCACTTAATTAGAGATTTGAAACTTTTTCTTTCACTGATACAGGATAATTGAGATAAAGTAAATAATACTTTATTGTACCTAAATAGAAATTTATTCAACATTTGGAGTGTTCAACATTCTGAAATATTCTTGTAAGCTCGTAGTATTTGTTGCAAAGGTAAAATGAAAAGTGATTCTCAATCAGGAATATATTGAGTTTATCTGATTCAAGAAATATTACAGTTAAATTGTACAAAATAAGGCTGATTAGCAACCCCAAGTATATACTTCAGATGCTTTCTAGGGTATATGTTTTTGAGTGATAATGGATTGTGTGTGTCTTCCTTTATTCTCATAGATAAATGATTGGTTGGAAATTAGGGCTCTACAGATTTAATTCTTTTTATATGGTCATTAATATGTAGTAAAATAAAGGTAAAGAATATATTGCTATCAGTAATAAAACAGTATCATGTTTTGTTCACATTACATGACTTTTTACAAGGCAAATATGGATCAGTGCCTCATAAATCAGGATGACATTATAACAATTACAATATTCTTTTGGGTTTCTAAGAGCAATTTTAACTAACTTATTTTACTGAATCTCCACTTTTGGGTTATATTTTCAGTTTTGGTTGTTTGCCTTCTCTCTCTCTCTCTCTCAAGTGGGTGGACCATTGTGCCTTATTTAATCCTCCATTAACGAACTTAAAGTGAAACATCTCAGACAACTGGGCACAGCAATACAGATGCTGATATGAAAATAAATATAAAACATTTTTAAAACTTCATGTTTATTTATAATTTAGGGCTTATCTTGAATTGTAGGTATTCTGTGTATTGAAAGTAATAGGTACTCATTTTGTCTGAGATGTACAGCATATGCTAGTTTCTATCCATCTATCAGTATTGATTAAGTGATAGCAAAAACACTCATAAAGTTTCACAGCAAAACAGAAAGTAATTAATCATTTCAGTATTTTACAACTCTACTATAAATGTCACAACTGATGGCTGCTGCTAATAGAATACTGAAAATGCCTATCAAAATGTTAATGTACACTTGATAAACCTTCAGAACTTGGTGATATCTTAACTGTACTGAAACCCTCACAAATTTAAAGTAACAGTAAAGCACCAAATTAACTTGTCAGTTTGCCTGACGTTTGCCCTTTTTATGGATAAGGCAGAGTAATAGCCACCTATGGCAAGATTAGAAATTTGGGAGTTTTGGGGTATACGTGAGAACAGAGGCCTGAACCTGAAGGGTAAAGGCCTTGAGGATCATAGGAAGTCAAGAGAGGAGGAAGCAGTGGAAAAGGGAAAAGTTGAAGAAGAGATGCCCCAGGGAGATCAAGTGAACATCCAGAAGAGGGAAGGAAGAGAGAATGACCCCCCACACACAAAAAGAGTACTGAAAAATATAGAATTCCAGGAGATCAATAATGGTGGTGGGTTCTGCTGAAGCAAAGTGATAAATGTATGAGATGAGCATCTTGTGTAAACTACTGCATTATTTTGATTGGTCATGCATATACAGTATTCTTTTAGCAATATCGCTCTCTAGAACATTTATGTAAACTCCATAAATATACCAATGTTGATGAAATGGCAAATTGTTGATTTTTGTCACTATTTGACTTGGATGTTAGTTAATAGGAGTTTGGCTGCTGTCTTACAAACATTACATCAGTTCCTATATCAAAGAACTACTGTGTGAAAATTTTCTTTATACTAAAAACTTATTTTCCTTTGCAAAATATGCAGAACTAAAAGTATTCCAGCTTGAAATTGTATATGCCAAATATAGCATTTAAATTATTTCATGACAAGAGTGTACAAAAAAACAGAAGTGACATTATAAGCATGCATGACATCTTTTTTGGAATGAAGATGACTTTAAAATAGATATCATAAAGAATTATCGCATTCCATATGTATATAATATATCTCTTCTTTTTGTGTTTACTGGACACATTGATATAATAACACCTGTTTTGTTTTGTAAATTGAGGTATCATCCATTTTATATCTAAACCAAAGTTTGTGACTATACAGTAGTGACTTTTAAAAATATTTACAATTAACCCCTAGTTCCAATCACTGACTGTGTTGCCACCACTGGATATTCCCAACCATTAATTGTCCAGCAGCGCATTCCACAGCAGGATACCCCAACTTTAAGCATCAAAGAGTTAATTAACAATTAGGTTTTTTATATTTATAAGTGAGGTGACCATATAAAATCTTTTCTTAGAGATTTTCTCCCAGCTTCTATAGGAATTATAACTACAATATGTAAAGTGTGAATGTCTAATATTTTTTTAATGTGTTCCAGTACATCTTTAACCAAGTACAAGGAATTGCATAGGGGAAAAAGTCGTGTAGTTGTGTCCTTCTGGAAAAAAAATTGGTTTTAAGGAAAAAAAAATAAACAGGAGCAAACCAACTGTTTATTTCCAAACTATTCTAAGAACAGTTAGAAACATAATTTTAAATTTACTGTACAGGTTTTGAAATACCTTTTTATTTTTTGTGTTTTTTCTTCCATACAGGAACTTTGCATTGATGGAAACTAATTTGTGTGTTTTTATCTTTTTTCCCCTTTTTTCTTTTTGCATGCTGTCCCCTGTGTTGGAACTCTCTTTAGAGAGTAAGTTGGATCAATATTTGCTGGAAATCTAACCTTATTGCATGATTGTGAAATTAACGCTTTTTCTCTATTTTTTTCCTCCCCCAAAGAGTTCATGCAGTGTCAAGCCTTTCGCAATTCATATAGAATTACGCGTGGTAATGTTTTGAGATGTGTTTTTCTACTAATTAACTGACCTTATTTGGTTATGCACTCCTGTTCTATATTGTGGTGATTGGCGCATCTGAAACTTAATTCATTTTAAAGAAAGATCTTAATTATAGTACTTTTTTCTTACAATATCTGTTTTTCTCCACTATCAAAATGTGATTAAGATGACTGATTTCAGAATTTAAAATTGAATCATGAAAACAAAGACTGTATCTAGAGAAACTATAGCACGTATGGATTGTTCCCCCTATAAATAAAGTTTGAATTCCAGCTTCCATTCTAATCTCACTCTTTTGTTTTGATACTCATATACATTTATCAAACAAATTGTCCATGCTTTGTATCAGATTCAGAGGTGTCTGGTTTTTTTGTTTTGTGTTTTTTTGGGGACATAGAAGTGGGGGTGTTTTGTTTTTTTAAATTTGAGCAAAATCACTTCAACCATTTTTGTGTTATTCCCAGACATAAATAGACACCGCTGAAATTAGAAACAAAATGTCAAACTTGTTTTGTTTTGTAGGCATTAATTGAGACTTAGACAAGACAAGGGTTGAAGATAATTTAATTTAATATGAACATTTATTTTGGGAAATCTGTAGTGCTCTATGAGCGTATAAATGTTTAACCAGCTTATTCAGCCTGCAGATTTCAGTATAAGAGGCACCAAACCAAATAACTCCAGATCAAGAAATTTATGAGCTCCCGTGACAAAGAAAGCAGAGTTTGTAAGCTCCTGGCTCAATTTCTTAATCTTTAAAAACCACCAAAAAAAATCCACGATTAATTGTTATGATGGAACATCAAGCACTCAGAAGTTAAGGTTTCCCGTAGTATTTGTCTGTGCCGTATATATGTTGTATTTCATATTCCTGCTTGCATTGTTAAATGTAAATATTAGAATATTATCGTTATTAACAAATACTATTATATAGGGAGAGCTGGTAGCAATCGCTATATTTAATTTGCGTTAAACTTCTCATTATAATAGATTCTTGTGACCTTTTTGTTAAGAAGCTCATAACACTTCCATTGTTTGCTGTAGGCCTTTGAAATTCGACATAGTTAAAAGCCTTTGGCTAGAGAAGTCTGGCTTTGGCCCTCCACCTGCCTCAGTTTTCCCTTCTGTCATGTGCCAAACAAACCACCGTATCTCATGTTTTCACAATACTGCTTCCTCTTCTGGGTGTGGCTTAGTATCATAAAATAATACACACAACCTTCCAGCCCTCTTTCATGGATTCATTTAGTCCATTCAGTTTATAATGGTCTTTGACAGCCACATAACCCTCCATCTTGGCTAAAAGTTCTTCCTGTCCTTTATCAGGGCTTCCCCTTCCTAACAGACCTTTACATACCTTTCTCCCTGCAGGTCCCTCAGTTGACGCTTGTCCCTCAACAAGTTGGTACTGTTCTTGCAGTTCTCCCTTTCAGGCCTTTTGCCTGGGAGCTCTGAAGAGTTGTCACCTCTCCAGCAAGCTTTTTTTTCCTCCATACTCTCTGACTGAATTCAGGCTGCCCTGATATTCCCCAGAAAACCTAGTGACCTCTTATATCTTTTTCTTAGCAAGGCCTGCTCCAGGGTTTTTGCCTCCCCAAGTGGCGGCGGGGGAGAGCTGTGATCGGCGGTAGCTCCACCACGCCGCTTTCTTTTTTGGCAGCAATTCGGTGGCCAGTCCTTCCCTCCGAGAGGAACTAAGGGACCCGCCGCCAAATTGCCGCCGAAGAGCCCGACGTGCCGCCCCTTCCCCTTGGCCACCCCAAGCACCTGCTTGCTGAGCTGGTGCCTGGAGCCGGCCCTGCTCTTAGGGGAGGTAACCTAAGCCTAGCACAGTTGAGGCTGAGTCAGAATCCTCTTAAAGAGCCAGCGTACCCTGTGACAGTATTATAGTATGTAAATTTAGATTTTCAATTAATTCATTTGCTAACTGGTACAAAAGAGGTATCTACCAATAAAACAGTAATGTTGACGTTTTTCCAGTAGTCACTTATAAAATGAATTTCTTACTTTTCTATGACGTCCAACAAACTGAAATATGCATCTTGTCCTTATAAAAGTACATTTGATGTAACAATGTGCTTGATTTTAAACTTAATTGTGTGTGTACATATGTACTCACAAGTAGTAAGACAGCAAATAATTTTGTGACTATCTTTACATTATTTCTCCAACTTCAGAATAACTGAACTTGAAAATTCACGTGCACTGTACGCCATGGATCTTGCTTCACAAAGATCAGTCACGTTTTTCTTTCAGTTTTTCCCCCCAGCCAAGCTTTATTTATTTATTTATTTATTTTAAAGGAAGGAAACTCAGACAAAACACTTAATGTAACATCATGGTTGAGAATTGAAAATGTACAAAAGCCAAGAAATTGAAAGCTGTAATTTTCCCAGCAATTCTAACTCTATCACACTGCATGTATATAATGGTATAGATGTGCACACAGCAGTACAAAATATTAAATATGTGCTGGTGTCAGATTTATAGTTGCTGTGGAAACCATAACTTCATAAAGTCCTTCTTTTGTACATTTAATTCTCAAGCATGACAATAGCAGTTTCCCCCTTCCCTCATATTTAATAAATTGGGCTAGATGAATTCTCCATTGGTAAAAGAAGAGGCAAATTTCACCTCCCTTCATCATGAAGGGCCATGACAGCAAGAGGAAAATTCATCCCCTTGGAAAGGACATAAGAATTGCCATACTGCATTAGACCTGAGGTCCATCTATTCCAGTAACCTTTCTATGAGGGTGATCAGTGGGCTTCAGAGGAAGGTAAAAGAACCTTGCAGTGAGCAGATGTGTGGTAATCCTTCTCCAACATTAGGTCTCATCCTTTTCTATAGTTAGATACTGGCTCAGGCCCTGAAAAATGATATTTAATATCCCTTCTATAATTTATCATTAACTACGACCACTCCAGATATCTTGCTGTCTGTAGCAATGTCCAGTATCTCTTCCTTTTTTCAATCTTGCTAAATTCTTAACATCAGCAGTTTCGTGTGGCAATGAGGAAAGGCACTCCCTTCTTTAGGGAACAATAATTTTAATCTGTGCTGTGCTCTTTATTAGTCCCCTGGCTGTAGTGGGAATGCGCCAAATCAATACATGCCCAAATCACCGTGTTTAATGCCTGGTCTGCAACTTCAACACACATTTTGGGGGTTGGCTGTGTTTGCCCTAGCAAAAAAAAAGTTGTGGATTCCTTGCTGTTGAACCATTTTCTGAGACCAATGGAAGCTGGTGTAGACTAATTAATTTGGCTTGTACAATGCAAAACAATAAAAAGGTGGTGTTAACATACGGTTAAGTTTGAGAAACAAACATTCAGAAATCAGGTAGTTCCAACATTACAGCTGTGAGAGCAATCTTAATTCAGCCATGTTGCACATCCCCTTTATTTATTTATTTATTTACAAACAGAAATGCTACTTTAAGGGTGTTATTTAGATTCCAAAGTTAAACGCTCAAAAGTTAGGAAATGTCTGATGTAAGATTAACCATAAACCCTTAATTTGCCCTCCTGGGGCATCCATCCTGTGCACTGAGGCAGGGGACCTGCAAAAAAAAAATGGGATCATGTAATTAAGGACTGTGGCTAAAATGTTCAAAAGCACCCAAGTCCCATTTTCAAGAGTTTTTATAAGTCCATGTAGAAACTTAAGTACTATGGATGTTCAAAATTTCAAATTAATTACAATTTTATCCTGTACTATAATGTATATGTACAGGGAGCAGAATTCCCCAGGTGATGTTAAATATGACACTTCCTAACTTTTGAGTGCTCAACTTTGCAATTAAAGTAACACTCTTTAAAATAGTTTTTTTAAGGTAATTTTCTAGGTTTGTTGTTGTTTTGTGTTTAAAGAGGAAAAAGGTAAAGATGGGCAACTGGAGCTCTGTGTTGGGCCTGGGGGAGACCACCTTGGCCCTCTTCCCACCCTTTTCCCCACTACAGCTATTTTGACAGCTCCCAGGTATTCCCAGGGATGTGTGTGTTGCTGCGGTGGCAGCATGGGTCCAGCTCTTTTGAATGCCCCTGTTCTGTTATTTTGACATGTTGCCAAAATATTCCTGAAGAATGCAAGTGACAGCAGGGAAATAGTGATATTTTAACAGTTGATATCTCAGCCAAGCCTAATGGAGTTTCCTGGGAGAAAGAAAAGGCACTTGGAAAGCCCTGTTACAAGTCCAGTTCGCTTACAGTTATATGTAACTCAGGCAGATTAATTGACATAATTTGATCATTTGACTTTCCAGTGCTACTGTTTGGAGATTTGTATATACAGATATAATAATTCTGCACAACACATTTAAAATGGCCTACACAGCAATCTGTGTGCTATTGCTTATGTGGAATCGGAGTTAGTCCTGAGCTTGATACCTTCCCCCCCACCCCCCTTGTTTTCTGTGCCCTTGAATTATCGGTGGGTAGGCATGCTGGTTGTGGAGACCTCTAATGTGGTTCTTGAGTAACAAACCCCCCCCTCCCCGCCTCAACCAGGAGCAGCACTGGAGTAATGTTCAGCCTTCACCCAGCAAGAGAAACATCAAGGACAATAGATGGAAGGGGGGGGACTATACCCTACAGTATTTCATTTTAGAGTGGAAAGAAAATGTTTTTTCTTGAGGAACTTTTTACCTGTTTGGGACAGGAAGATGGTTTTTAATACTTAAAATATTTAAAGTAGCCCTGAAGATTATACTGTTTGGTGTCTGTAGGATCCTCGTATAATTTTGAATGTATATTTGACATCCAGTGCCCATTAATCAAGTGCCAGCCTCAAATACCTAATAAAGGACACTTGTAAACTAAGCATATGGATTTGCACCTTTAATGTATTGGGTATATTTATCTTAATGACCGTATGACATCGGTGTTAAAAAGTAATTATAGTGAAAACTCTCATGCGTGCACTTATGCAGCAGTGTGTGTTATGGCCTAGATTAGGCTGGAATTCTGGCAGAATACATACCTTTGAAATTGTATATCTAGAACATGTATGTTCCACTCCCGCATAAGCACATGTAAATCCAAAAGTTAGTGAAAGGTCCTAAAAAGAAAAAAAAAAAGCCACCTAGTGGTAAATTTTATATATACATACACTTAAAAAAAAACCAAACCCTAAAATATTTCTTGATCTTAAGGTTGTACTATAAGTTTTGAAATTTGTAGTTTAAAAAAAAAAAAAAGTCATTCACACATACACATTTGGCACAGTTTGCAATATACAAGTTCACATAGGGTACATCTACACCGGAAAAAAAATGCAGCAGCAATTCTTAGCCCGGGTCAACTGACTTAAGGCTCGTAGGTCTTGGGCTAATGGGGCTAAAAATAGTGTAGATGTTCCCATTCGGTCTGGAGCCCAGGCTCTGAGATCCTGGCTGAGTTTGAGACCAGGCAGGAACGTCTATGCTGCTATTTTTAGACTCAGAGAGGGAGCCCCACGAGCCCAAGTCAGTTGACCTGGGCTCTGAGAATCACTGCCATGGGGGGTGGGAGGCGCTATGCAGCATAAATGTACTTATAGATCATTTTCCTGAATATTTGCTTCCGAACACCACTCTTCCAAAATGTCATAAAAAGTAGCTAATATGTTTTTAGAAAGATTAATATTCCATATATTTCCAAAAGACATCATAATCAGAAATGTACTGTAGTTTTTCCTCTGCTAGGAGGACTTTTCCTCTGAATAATTTGTTTCAGAATGCTGCAAGAACAGAGAAGCCTGTTCCATTCTCCAAATCGTCTATGGAAAGTAACAAGCATTCTCTTGATGCAGATCTCCACAGCATATTTTAATTAAGCTTTCTGTGGCCTCTTTGCTTTTTTTTAAAAAGATAAGCCAATTTTATTGTCTACGTAGAACTGACTTAATTACATAAAGCTTGAAGTGGAAAGAAGTTTAAATTTAAAAAATAAATAAAGTTGTGCCAGCCATCACAGTAAACATTTCTTTACCCAATGATACTGCATGGAATAGCTAATTGTCAAACTTCAGCTGAAGTGGAATAGCAATATTCTCTTGTATCACGGAAACCAATGAAAAGCAAGACAGATTGTTTTCCTGCTTGGCTGCAAATCACTGCCTCTGTCTGCCTTTGATTCCCCTACTGCTTTCTTCATCATTTGTGAGTTCAACACAGGTCAATGTCGTTTCCTTTTCTCCCCCCCCCCCCTCTCTTTTTCCCTTCTCTGCCTCCTTTAGGTGTTCAGCATGTTTTTGGAGACCTTGGTCGACTTCATCCAGGTCCATAAAGAAGATCTACAGGATTGGCTGTTTGTGTTGTTGACACAGCTGTTGAAGAAAATGGGTGCTGATTTGCTTGGGTCTGTGCAAGCAAAGGTTCAAAAGGCACTTGATGTCACAAGGTAATACATTGCTGACAAAAATGTGTGTGCAATTTTGATTGGCACCAGAGTATATTCCCACATTTCTCTCTCACTGTACTGTAAGGATATTGTCTCCAAAACAGAACCTGTGGATGGCTTTAAAATGTAACAAATGTAATAATAGTGGTTTTCTAAATACCAGCTAATTTAAGGAATTCAAATCATCCCTGCTATTTTGATGCTTAACATTGAAAGATGAATACAGAATCAGTTTTCTAGATTATGAAATGCACATCCTAGCAGGATTGGATTTAATAAATCAGATACCGTTGAGAGATTTCAGAGTGGTAGCTGTGTTAGTCTGTATCCGTAAAAAGAACGAGGAGTACTTGTGGCACCTTAGAGACTAACACATTTATTTAAACATAAGCTTTCGTGGGCTAAAACCCACTTCATTGAATGCATACAGTGGAACTGCATGCATCTGATGAAGTGGGTTTTAGCCCATGAAAGTTTATGCTTAAATAAATGTGTTAGTCTCTAAGGTGCCAAAAGTACTCCTCGTTCTTTTTACTGTTGAGAGAGTGTTTGTCTTACATGTTAGCACATATAATTGCTTGAAAATAGTAAGATCTTTTGATATATGTTCTTTCTACATTAGCTGAATGTTTCTGAAAGTATGATATAGCATATCTACCCAGAGATTAAAATGAGTAGACATATATTGTAGTTTGAAAGGTAGATGAATTTTTGATTAGTTTATAGAGAGAGCCTTTAAGTTAGAGCGACCACCTATATAGTTATTAAATGCATGCCCTATGCAAGTAATGTGTTTTGCCTGATTTTCTTTATTTTTCAGGGAATCTTTTCCAAATGATCTCCAATTCAGTATTTTAATGAGATTCACTGTTGACCAGACCCAGACGCCCAGCTTGAAGGTAAAAATTTAGAAGTCTAAATTGCAAATGAAATATTTGTTGATAGAAATTTGCTTTCTCTTACTATTTGGATTTGTATTGCAAAAAAAGGTTTTCACTTGGTGGATTTTGTTTTTATAAACTTTCAGACAGTCAAGCCAGCGCTGCAGGACCAGCTTCGCTCTTTTTGGAGCTCCAAGGTTTTTTGTCTGCATTATTGCCTTTTTTAACCCTATGTAAAAACTTTACAGTGTTTGATAATTTTTATTTGTATGCATCCGTCTATGGCTACTAACCTTTGCAAGAAACTTTAAGCATGCAGATATTCAACTTCAAGTGATATACTACTGTCAGAGCATTTTTTGCAAAAACAGACCTGATAAGACCACACACCAATGAATACAGAAGCAACAAAAATATGGCCGCCTAACACCAAGCTGGTTATGCAAACTCACTCTATCAAGTCTTTTCTCATTTTATGTTTGTGATTTCCCAATATTCTTTCCTGGATGTAGTTCTGACAATGAAGGTTTTTCCCTAAACTACTTTCATCTTGTAGGTTATGGGCATATTTAAAATTTAAATAATGTTAATATTAACACATGTACCCTAAATTTTCATTCAAAAACATATTACTTTTATGTTTAGTGCATTATTTTATTTAAGCTTTTCTAAAAGTAATGTGTTGCATTATATATGCACGCATTTTCACAGTTTAAGAATATGTTGACATAAAAATGGTTGTACAACCTAAAATTAAAACTGATTTCTCTAGGACTGTACAATTAGAGAAAAGGTTGGCTTTGGTATAAATGCTGTAAATCCTAATAAGATTTACAAATAAGGCAAATTGGGGAAATAGCAAGCATATACAAAACTGGAATTTTCTGCTCTGTCCTGCACGAAAATTTTTTACACAAGTTGGAATGTTATGCAACGTAACAATGCACAAGATTTACACTTTTTTTCCTGTACACAGTGGGGCTGACGTCACATGCAAATACCTCATTTTTTTGTTTTCTTTTTTTGCTTTTTGTTTGCAGCACAGTAAAATTTATAATATTACTCACTCTGAGGACAGCTTATACTTTGACTACTATTATTTGTGGTGGTGTATTAAATAGCGGCTACTATCTCATGATGTGATCAGAGTTGTTAAAGAAAACAAATGAAGTAGTAATGAAATCACACAATTTGTTCTGCAACATGTCCTTAAGACAGAGGTTTATTGCAGGAAGATTAATGCGTTGATTGCTGTGAGTTACTTTCTCCATAGAATTCTGGTGTAATTACTAAAGCATGATATGCTCCCTTTTGTGAAGCTCATACTGTAGATTTGAAAGAAAGCATGGACTTCTGGTATGAGGATGAGGTCCAAAGAGTGGAATTCCTTAAAGATTGGAGCCAGAGCTTAAGACCGAGGAAGCCAAGGCCAAGACCATCCTCCTGATGACAGAGAAGAAAGTTAAAAAAAAAAAAAGGATGATGATGGATTTATGGAACAGATACTGAGCAGTTATAAAGATTCATCAATGTTCGAGAAATATAAGATTTCTCTAATAGAAGTTGGCTAGAGAAGCCATCTCTTTCTTAGAGCTGTGGCTTCAAATTATTGTCTCAATATGTGTAGTTTCAAACAGATTTTTAAAGAATATTTTAAATAGTACCTTTTTTGTAAAGTTTGCAGTTAACAGGCAATAATCTTGTATTCAGAAATCCAAGAACTTATCATACCCCATTCCCTACCCCTCAACTTCTTCCTAAAGCTTACTACTATCACTGAAGAGCCAGAGAATATATTTATTAAAGTAATCAAAAATGTAATATAGTGGTAGTGTTAAGGACTCTACCTACCTGTGTTAGTATTTTGTACTGGTACCCATCCCCATAGTACTTCCCAGGGTTAATTGGATTGGCATAGCAAGATTCCTTTTGAACTTGATGTAGTCCAGCTCTTCCCCTTCTATGGTTTTCAGAAACTCTTCCTGAAGGGATGGTTATGTACTGGTGAGAGGGAATGGAGTTTGTTGGAAATATCATTCTTGTTATGATGGCAAAACTATATCAAAGAGGAAAGTCTTTTAGCATGACCTAATAGTGATCAGATTCTGGATTGCTCATCTCTTCTGGAAATTGTTTTACAGACATCTCTCCCTCAGCCAAGAGTGCCTTGACTCTGGCTCACACACTCTCTATCTTGGACTTTGTGTTCTGTGTTTTGTCAAAAGGAGCACAGCTGTCTCCATGGTTCATAGATAGCTATATGGTTGCTAGTGAATCTGGGACATGACCCATTAATGGCTTTGAAAATTGGAAGCAGGGCCTTGAACTGGCCTCAGAGGTAGACCTAGAAAACAGGAATGATGTGCTTCTGCAGACCTAGTCCATGTAGGAGGCAGACAGCCAGGTTTTGCACCAGCTAGCATCTTTGCATTGTTTTCACATTCAGCTTCACATACAATGAATTAAAGGAATATAGTTTGAAGGTGACAGATACATGAAAAATACTCGCCAGATCCATGTCTCGAAGGAAGAAGTGAAGGTTTTTAGCAAATATTACCTGATCTGGGACAGTGATAAGTCATGTAGGACCATTTTGGCAAATGCATCATGCTTATGTAAGGTTTCAGAGTAGCAGCCGTGTTAGTCTGTATCC